GTACGTTTATAACACCATAGGCCTATTTTGTATTATATTCACACACACACGCACACACACACACAAACGAGTTAATACAGCGTCTATGGGAGTGACGGTCAATTTGACATCGTTCTCTCACTCTGATCAGTCCCTTTCTATTTTTTTTAAATCACGAAAACACTATCATGGAGTTTTTCTTTTGCTATTTGGCAAATGGGAATGCAAAAAATATATATTTGTGGTAGTCTCCCATTCACTGCTATAGAAGTTTACCCAACTATGACGACTTCTGCTGCTGAGAAATGTGAAAAAGGTCCATTGTTCTGTACAGTGTTAAGGCCCGTTCACTCCAAGGACGATAACTATAAAGATAATGATAAAGACATAGTTCTAAAAATCGTTCTCAATATTAAAGAATAGCAGAGTCCACACCACAACTATAACGATAAAGACAAAGAGAAATGATATTGTTGGAATCACTTTCAAAACGATTTTTCTCCAGCTGATGAACGATAAAAAAATTGACAGCCAATCAGAATCCATCCTGCTGTAACGAGATCAAGAATTTAAAGCGGCAGACGTGCGTGCGCTTAGAATAAACAGACGATATCGTTCGCTGGTGTGGACGCTAATATCCTATTACTACTAGTTATCTTTATCGTTATCTTTATAGTTATCATTCTTGATGTGAACGGGGCTTTATTGTTCTTAGAGCCCGGGACAAATAAATAAATGCTTTGGTATACTTTGGAAATTGGGTTCCATGACGTTTGGTCTAAATTATTTTAGATGGATAGATGGATGGATGGATAGATAGATAGACAGATAGATAGATGGATAGATGGATAGATAGATGGATAGATGGATAGATAGATGGATAGATGGATAGACAGATAGATAGATGGATAGATAGATGGATAGATAAATAGATAGATGGATAGATGGATAGACAGATAGATAGATGGATAGACGGATAGATAGATGGATAGATGGATAGATAGATAGATAGATAGATAGATAATGTAGGCTAAATAGCACATTTACTAATGGGAATATTTCACTGATCAAATTTTTAAATCAATTTCATTAAATCATTTAGTAAAAACAATACTTTTGGTGTTATTGAGTGACAACATAGACTGGATAATATTAGACACTCTTGAACAAAGTATTATGTACCTTTTTTGTTTTCTTGTGAATTTTTAATTCTTCCTAATACCTCCTTTTGGAGATAAATTTAGCATTAGATCTTAGATATATTTACATTTAAATTCTATAAATGTCTATAAATTTAAAATTAAATTTCAAGAATAAATCTCTTTGAGTTACATTGATAGAATATTCGGCCTTTAAAAGCCATGTGTGTTGATTCTCGTGCACAGCCAATGAAAAGACACATTTGAGAATCATGACTTGACAGCACAAAGCTGCTCTGATGTACAGTAGCATTTATTTGTTATAGAATTAAAGCCAATCTAAAAACTTTAATGCTGCCTAGCAATCGCTGCTTTTCCTATAGCAAATACAAATCGAGTTTGTTTTGTAAATCCACTGAAGCACTTTGACTGGTTGACAAATCTCTCTTCTCCCCTTACTGTTTTCTGTTTTTAAAGTACTTGCATTGTTTTTCAAAGAGGCATTTAGCCTATACAAATACAGTTTGTTCAATAGCAAGAGTAAAAAAAAAAAACCCGCTTCAGCAAACACAGGGATTTTATTTGAAATATAGTGAAATGTAGTAATAGCTAGTCAGAGATCTCCAGTGTTATCATCAGCGTTCATAATTTTGATATTTGACACCCTTCACATTTAGAATAGATCTTGTCCTTCTTCGAATGCTGCCACACAAGCCCTTAAGCCAGATGAATAACATATAATCATGAGAAGATAAGCGTTGGTTCTCTCAGGTGGTGGTGTCTATTTTGCACGCTTCACACTAGAATGAACAGATCAATAAAACTAGTGAGTGGAATGTTATGGAGGCATTGGACTTTACCCTGGTGTTCATGAAACCACTTTTGAATGATTTTATCAGTATTTATGGGAATATTGATAATAATAATAATAATAATAATAATAATAATTTGTTACACTTATATAGTGCTTTTTTGGGTACTCAAAGCGCTTTACATGGAAGGGGGTATCTCCTCATCCACCACCAGTGTGCAGCATCCACCTGGATGATGCGACGGCAGCCATATTGCGCCAGAACGCCCACCACACACCAGCTAACTGGTGGAGAGGAGACAGAGTGATGAAGCCAATCAGTAGATATGGGGACGGTTAGGGGACCATGATGATGGACAGAGGCCAATGGGCAAATTTTTATTTGATATTTGATATGATATTATCAGATTGGAATATGGGATTGACTTGAGAGGGTTTACATCATTTATTTAGATACATATTACCACACTGAGCAATAATTAGACCTGCCTGCCATGTCATTACGGATCGTCTGTGATTTTAGACATTGAGGGTTGTAGGCAACAGTTGGCTTTGTTGATAAGTAAACATGTATGAATGTAGAAACCTGACTCATCTGACCACAGTACATTCATACACATTCTGCTCAAGGGTAATGGTTTTGTTCTCTTTACAACAGATTACGAGTCTTTGTGCACTGGCCTTGGTCAAGGGGTTTCTGAATGGCAGCTTAGTCATAAACCACAGACAGTCTTTTAATGTGGCCGGGTCATTGAGTTGCTGAGTTAGTTTTTGTGGGTGTGTTTTTGTGTGATTTAGCAGCTGCCCTATTAATGAGCTTCAACTCGAGACTAGTAATTGCTACCAAACTAATGTAACTTAATGTTTCAGTTTTACTGTATTTTTTAAATAAACAGTGATTAATCCGATTCATTTGAAAATTGAAATGGTGCCAGGTAAAAGTTTGGGACATGTTTTGTTATATAGATGCTTCAAATGTAAATGTATTTTTAACATTATGCTTCTGTTCTTGGCATGATTTACCACAAGATGTCGCTGCTGTTTTACCTTTAAATCACTGAATGAATTTTTTTGTGTGTGCTTGAATTGCCTTCCGTCATCTAGGTTGAATTTTTCTTAGTTACTTTTATCATTTCGCAGTAATCGAATATAATCCTTAAAGAATGTATTTGCTACGATCACTTAAAGGAATAGTTTACGAATAGAAAAATAATGTCATTATGTGCTTATCCTAATGTTGGAAGGGGAAATATCAGTGAGTAATAACGTTTATTATAGTTTTACACTTTTTTGCTGACATCTTTCTACACTATTCATTTTCATTTAATGGAAAAAAACACGATAGGACATTTTTCAGAATTTCTTCTTTTGCAAAGGAAAGAAAGCAAGTTATATTTGGAACGAGATGAGGGTCATATGTGGTGACGATGACAAAAGTTTCATTTTTGTGATGAACTATGCCTTTAAATTTGATTCTCCTGTAACACTATTTAATAACGCGTGCACACGATCAAAACGTAATTAAGCTACCGATTTTTGCACGTTTTCCATTATTCTTTCATTTGCATCAAAACAAACATCAAGAAACACATCACAAAACAACAAAATTGTGTATCCCCGCTGAGACAGAGGGAATAATGACTAGCGTGATAGCACAGCACAATGCGAATGTATCAGTATCAGGAGACCTGTGGCTCTTCACTTGATTACAGCAGCGCGAGATTCCTTTCATGCGCATTACAGCTCGAGCTCCCTGCACGCGCACTTGTGTGGATGAATTAAGGGTTACTATACTATACCTAAAAGGAAAGTGTTGCAGTTAGATAATTATTTATCACAAGGAATCACTATGGATTGCTCTGAAGAGGTGCAGTCACTCTCAGATGAAGCCAGCACTCCCATCGAGTTGAAGAAAGGAATGTCAATATTTTTGGATGTGAGTATATTAAAGCATTTTCATTTAAATTTTTTTTTATTTTTTATCTTGTCTTATTGTAAAAACGAATTATTTGTGCTGAACGATAAAGAGAAAATGGAGTCTTAAAATAACCTGTTGATGAATCCACAGAGCTGCATAGGGTTTTGTGTTGAGTGTCTACTTGAAGATTGAGAGAATATCACCGTATCTTTAATATAGATCAAGGTGCACGAATGTTAATAATAAATATTAAGCAAATTAACAAAAGTCGTGTACCTTGATCTATATTAAAGATACGGTAATATTATATATATATATAAGTGCAATTTAATTTCATTTAATTTAACTAAATTTAGTTGGTATAAACTGATCTCAGGTCTTGATCTTGAAGTGTTTTAGTGATGTGAGACTGGCATTCTTCATAGAAATTAATGTTAAGCTATCATCATTTAGGCAAGTTCAGTCATTATGCATAATGTTAATTAGCATATTATTAATTAGTCATTGTGCATAGTTTATGCACATTAACATTTAGTTATTAAATAGGCTGTGGATGTTCTTTTCCAACAAAGACACACTCTTTAAGTGCAGTTTTTGCTAATTAAATTGCAGTATGCTGTCTAAAGAGCTTCCCCTGAGACATGAGGTGTGTATTGTTAATTATCATACAGGAATAAAGAAGCACAGTCCGTGACAGATTGGTGGCATAGTTTTTCACTCCTCTAAGGAGGAAGCTATATTCAGCATAGTCTTGGCATGCCTTGCAGAGGACCATATTTAGAGTGTGAATATTCTTGCTGTGAATTGGGACTTTATTTAACGGTGTTCAAAGTCAACATCATCATTTTTTCTTTCATCTCTGTTCTTTTTAGGCCTCGACCTAAATAATTT